GGGTCAGCTGGTACTGGAGCATCCAAAGGTCTTACCTCCTCATACTTCCTGTCTGCCTCCTCTGCAATGTGCTTGGCTTCCTTAAGCTGGATCTCCTGCAGTTCCATCTTCTCCTCATCCTTCAGAGCTCTGTTTTCAATGACTTTCATGCCTCTGCCCAAAAGAAAGCACAAGGAGGGAGATTTATAGAACAATCCTGTAAAAGCCAATAGTGTAATGAGATTCAGAGCATTAACAGTGCTCCCCTGGGACCACGTTGCTTCCTTATGAGCCACAACACTTCCAAGTGCAGAGGGTAGCACAGGAATGCAGACACCGCTGGGCTGATGCGAATACAGCAACCTCAATTGCTCAGAACTAACTGTTCCTTGGAGCAATACTCCAGCAGCTCATTGGGCTCCTGGACCAAGGTAAATGGGGTGCTGCCAAGAGGAACAAGCCAGGAACAAGCTTGGGGACTCCACAGAGCTGAGCCAAGCACTTTCCAGGCTGGAATACAGGAGGAGCCAAGTCCATCTTTATGGCAGGACATCAGCTGGGTCAGGCTGCTCACTACAGTGTGTGCACCGATGAAGCACATCAGCCAACTGGAAGTGGACCACTCCCCTCTGAATCACACTGCCAGGTCAGGGGACATCTGCCAGCAGGGAGGATGCTGGCAGAGACAGCAGGAAGAAAGGCTTCCCCATCAGCAGCCACCTTTACAAGTCAGTGTCCTAGAACCCACTTATTTCTCCTTCCTTGGAGGCAGGGACATATGGTAGCACACAGCACTCACTCCTTAGCCTCAGGTTCCAAGATACTCACTCAAGGCCAGCAGCATTGTTTTAGTTGCTCCGCATAAGCGGGTACCGACTCCCACATCCAGCCTTGATGTGGTATTTACTTCCCACCCTCCAGGAAGCCCAAGAGGTTGATGGCACCAGGCCTTCAGTCAGGAACACATCTGAGATGTTTGATGGAGTGAGAGCAGCAGCCCTTGCTCACCTTTCACTTTCATCTGCAGCCTTCTCTGCCTCTTCCAGCTTCTGCAGAGCTGTGGCAAGGCGCTCCTGCGCTCGGTCTAACTCTTCCTCTACCAGCTGGATACGGCGATTCAAAGATGCCACCTCTGCCTCAGCCTAGAGGGAGCAGATGAGGGTGACTCAGTCTGGGGCAGGTTTAGCAGTTAGTGCAGGGCAGCTGAGGTCTGCCTTCAGGTCAGTGGCAGCACATGGGAAGCCAAAACGAAGCCAAGGTGCTTTGTCCACTTTCTTAGAGGTTACACTCCCATCTGCTTGCATGCACGTTAAGCTTCGCAACATTTCACACATGCATGCTTTGTCCATGCAGCAGTCATCCTGCAGGCTTCTTGCCTGTCAGCTTGAGCTGACGTGACACTTTAAGCCGTAAACACTAAGTAGATGACTTACTCTAATGGGTCTTCTCTGCAGCTGCTGTAACCCTGCCAGGCCATCAATCACAGTCCTATTTATCCACCACACCAGAGCTCTGTGGCAGCTACCATTTAGCACAAAGTCAGTTTACTCATGTGATCTGGACATGAGCATTGCTTGAAAGGAGCCCTCTCGTCAGCAACGTGAGAAAGATTAACAGCTTCAGGTTCAGAGGACTGCCAAGCTGTGTCAGGGAGCTGGAAGGCCAGGTTTTCTCCAGCACTGCCCCAACGTGGGGCAGCAGCAGGGCTCAGCCAACGGCTGTAATGCCCACAACCCCGGCAGCTCAAGCCCTGGAGCCCTAGCTCTAAGCTTCCTTCCTCCCAGCAATTCACTAATAACGCAGCAGAAGAGCAAAAGCCCCATCCAGTCTTGAGATAGGTTGAGGAGGCTGTTCCTCAGCAACAGTCACATGCAGACCAGCCACCCCATGTCGTTCGTGCCAGGAGGCGGTGAAATTTCCAGGAGCCCATGGGCACCGCACATTTGCCAGAATTGTGACCACAGAAGTGACCAAGGCTTTAACAAATCAGCAGAGATCAGAAGCCATCACACATGCCCAGCCAGGCCATTACAGCAGCATTGCTGTCAACCACAAGGCATCTACTTACAGCCCAGTTTGCATCAACCCCGACCAGAGCCTGGGGGGCAGACCTAGACACCTTGGGGATGCTAACCCCCAACTTGAGAGACCCCTGGGGAAGCCAGAATCCCTGCAGGATTACTGTGCTGGTACAAAGTTGGACAGGGCTGCAGCCATTTCAGGGCAGCACTGTGATTTACTACAGAGACCTGTGCACAGGCACATGCCAGGCATATATGAAATATCCCAGCTACTTGTAACAAAGCAGCCTGCAAGGACATGCTGCTTCTAACCGTGCTGGAGGGAGGAGCAGAGTGATGAAAGGAGCCAGTGTTACAGCAGGGTCCGACACAAATCACGTTCAGTTCCCAGAAGAGGCTGCCCGAGCCTTCCCCCCACCCCTGGCTGGCAGCAAGGCACTAGGCACCCACCCCTCCACCCCCATCCCACGGCATGTTTCAAGACCAGGTTGTGAAAACACAAGTCGAAGAGGAGCTCCCATGCCAGCACGCCCTGCTCTTCACCAGGGAAACCCACAACACTGATGCTCAAACAAGGCAGTGCTGCGGCAGGCTGCCCCAGCGCCAGCCCCACTGGCACGCTCCTCCAGAGGAGGAAGTGGCTGCTCAAAGAGGAACAAAATGATGCATTAAACAGAACTGGAAAGGAGACTGCTTGACACACAGGTCTTTTGCCTATTAAAGGGTCAACAAGCTGTCAAGGTGGAGAACCTCCTCCTTCTCCTAGGGGATGGAGACATATCAGCTCAGCAGGCCTCCATTTCCTGACCCCCCGAACAGCATCATTTAGCCCTGACTTCCTGCAGGCAGTGCTTAATCCACCCAAAAAAACACACTTGCTTTTAAGGAACTGCCCCTCTCCCTCTGCAGAAGGGTCCTTACGCCTCACTTTCTGCTTCTCCTCACTGGATACAGCTGAAGCTGTCAGGCTTCCCCAGAGCACAGGGGTGACACTTCCAGACAGCCCCACTAGCGAGCCATGCATTCCCATTACTCTGTGCTTCCTTCAGGAATGCAGCCCTGAGTCAGGGAGCTCCCAAGAGCCCTGTAAGCCAAGGGCTGAGCTTGCCTCAGCCTTCAAGGCTCACCATCGCTTCCCCAGGCCACAGAGCTCTAACAGGGACTTTCCTCAGGACCCAATCGCCACTACACTGGGAGCACTCGTTGTCTCCCCTGTAGTGAGGCTCCAGTGAGCTGGGAGAAGCAGGCACGCACGTTCCCATGACTACTATTGCAAGAGAATTCCTTATGTGGCTGCAAAGAAGGAGCCCAGCTGAGGCCTGGGAGTGGCCTCTTCCCACTGCATGGCAGAAGCTTCTGCCATCAGCCTCAGTAGCAAAGCCTGATCAGCCCCACAGCAGCAGCACCACACCTCTCGTCACAGACACAGACTTGGGCACCAGGGGTGGAAAAGCCTCAGCTTCACATTTTGAACAGAATCAGCAGCAAAGTCACTGCGTAAGTTTGTGGAGAGTCACATTCAGATCCGAGCCAGTCACCCGTGAGGGCCTGCCCTGTGTCTCCCCATCCACCGACCCCATGATGACACCAGCCTTCCCTGTCTCCCTGACCTGATGGAGCTGCAAGAGCGGGCACTCGCCAGTTCAGATTCTGTCGTTGTTGCTCCTTCCCTCCCTCCAAGCAATCCCAGCCCAGTCCCTCCCAACACATTCTCACA